CCATGTTGGCTGCTAAAAGGCAAACAAATCCGTCACGGCGTCGTCCATCTGCTCCACGCTGTGACATAAATATTCATAAAACCCGAGCGAGCCTGGCGAGTTTCTGGGAGAAGAAATGCAGAAAAACCAGACGAGGAAGATTTCAATATAACGAGCCAATCATCAGCCATCTTTATTTGAATGTTGTCATTTTTATAAACGTGATCGGGACATGATTTGTCTCAACGTCACTTTAAAAATACAACAACACGATCCATTCAGGTTTTAATGAAAGGTGAGAATAGAGCCTGGAGACACATTTAGTGAATTAAAGTCCAGATTCTATAAAATCCACTTCCCCATGTTCCTCTAACTCTAACATGTGTCTCTAGTCCGTCTACAAACCCCCCAATGATGAGAAAAGTCCATCCTCTCCGTCTTCTGCCTGCTCCACTTTTCAGAAAATGTGTGCTCAAACAGGCCGTTTGGAGATTTTCCCTTCATGACATCACAAAGGGCAGTAGCCCCTCCCCCAGGTGGGTGACACTCCCACAGCTAGGTGTTTGTTCTGCCCTCTGAGTCTGCCTTCTCACCGTAAACAATAGGACATGGAGAGAGAAAGACCCTTCCAGAGAGGGGACGTGGTCAGACACAGCTCATTTACATATTTAAAGGTACAGACACAGAAACAGTCTGTTCTGAGCAGGGCTGAAATAGAGGGGTTTATAGACATGATCAAATACAGGATCAGAGTGGATTTAGAACAAGGAAACTTCACACACATGTTTTGAGGAGCTCTGAGACTTATTTACACTGGATCGAAACAGACAAACAAGAAAAGTATAAACAGTTAAAGGAACAGTATGTAACTGTGACACCTAGTGTTTAAAATGGGTACTGCAGTCTAAACATTGCAGAGAGCCCCCCCCCCCCAGAGTTGATGCTCAGGCCGGTTTCCAAATTGTTCAGATGATTGACAGATTTACCAAATAAACAACATATTAGTGATGCTAAGCTAACTGCTAACCAGAGATATGGGATGAATCCACATGTTTTTTTCAGCTTCATTTTATTATTTGATATCCGACCGCTCATACACGAAACACACAATGCTAACTTAGAAAGCCAACTGTTAAAAAAAGCACTGAAGAATCACATCAAGAAAACAATATAAAGTTTTTTAGGCCGGATTCAGGAGGAGGTCCTCGTGGAGAACACCCGGTATGGAGGCAAACAGCTCCTCCTCTTGCTCCGCCCCCCCCTCCTCCATGGCGCCGTGTTTGGACATCCTGTCGTCAGGCGGGGCGTCCTTGGAGACCGGACACTTCTTCTTCCCCTCTAACCAGTAAGTCACCATGTCTCCTTTTCCCTGTGAACAGAGGACCAGAGTGTGACTGGTGAGCTCCCAGTGCTCCCAGTGACTGACAGGTGTTTGTGAAGGGGGGCGGGGGCTCACCTTGACCTGCAGCGTCCCTCTGCACTCCAGCACGTAGCCTCCGATCTCCTCCAGCAGGTAGAAAGCAGACGAGCTGCACTGGATCTTCAGAGCTGAAAACACCAGATCACAAACTTTAAATCTTTCTCATGTCGCACTTCAATTCATTTATTTAAAAAATAAACAGAATCCAAAAAAGTAACAAACTATTTTAAAAAGTGATCAAACTAAAGTTGTAAAAATTTATATATATATTATTTAATTTAAATGATCAATACACGCACACTTATTTATGTAAATACTGTAATTAACATCTTAATTGACCCATCTGTCACATAACTGCATTTTACTCATCATGTTACTTCAGCATCTTTTGCACTCTTCACCACTGCACTGTTTCATATTTAGTCATGTAAATATTAGTCTTTTCTTATTCTGTTTATTGTTGATGTTTAATGTTGTACCTGTTCATAAGAGAGCACAGTTCACCTGTATACCTGGACAATAAATCTGATTCTGACGTTCAGCTTGTTTATGCATTGAGACATTTTAACTGCTAATATAGAAACACTACGGTGGCCCTGAAGGTCAACTGCAAAAAGATTTCATGAAACATAAAATAATTTATTCTACATTAAATGAAACGGTTTAAATCTGTGTTTCATTATTTACTAAAGATCTGAAATGTGTTTGTCATGCAGCTTCAGTGTTTGTTTGTTACCCAGACTGTTGGACTCCATCCTGGACGCTGTGTTCACCGTGTCTCCAAACAGACAGTAACGAGGCATCTTGGTCCCCACGACCCCCGCCACCACGGGACCTGCAGAGACACGAGGACACGTTTGTCTGTGTGGTCATGACCTCAACATGTTCTACACGCTTCAGACGGGACGTACCGGAGTGGATCCCCGCTCGTATCTGCAGCTGCATGCTGGGTTTGTGGGGGATCCTGAAGGTGCGGCAGACGCCCACCAGGTCCAGAGCCATGCTGGCGATCTCTGAGGCGTGCAGGATCCCGTTCTCTTGGGGAACGCCGGACACCACCATGTCTGCACGAGCACACGGTGAGACAGTGATCGTGTTTAAAGACCCGCCCACTCATTCAACGCTAACGTGACCACGATACGGTTGCTAACGGTTACTCTCTCACGTACAGGCGTCTCCGATGGTTTCCACCTTGTAGACGTCGTAGATGTCGATGATGTCGTCGAACGTCGTGTACAGTTTGTTCAGGAAGTCCACGACCTGATACGGCGTGCTGCTGCTGGAGAGCTGAGTGAAGCCCACGATGTCACTACACACACACACACACACACACACACACACACACACACACAAACGGACACACACACACACACACACATTAACTTTAACTTCCTGAAACATTGATGACCCACCCCCCCCCCCCCCCTACCTGAAGAAGACGGTGGCGCTGACGTAGCTCTGAGCCTGCAGAGGTTTCCCCTGCCGCAGGTCGTCAGCTACCTGTTTAGGAAGCATACCTGAAACCAGGAAGACGTTCTGCAGTCAATAACAAGACGTGTTAATATGACAGGAGTGTGACCTGGTGTGACGTACTGTAAAGGAGTCGGTCCGTCCTCTGCTTCTCGTGCATCAGATCCTGAGTCCTCTCAGCCACCAACACCTCCAGGTGTTTACTGTACTTCTCCATCTGGAACAAACACAACCACTGATTTACACTTCAACAGCGACCCGGACTCTTTGGAACATGATGTCATCCATTTTCTTCTTCTTATACCAGACGCAGTAACGTCACCCAGACCTGCCTCTCCCCAGCTCCTCCAGGGGGATTCTGAGGCGTTCCCAGACCAGCGAGCTCTGGATCCCCAGGGTCTCTTCCCGTTTGAACGTGTCATGAAAACCTCCAAAGGGGGGCGTCCAGGAGGATCCTGATCAGATACCATAACCACCTCACCTAGCTCCTTTAGATGTGAAGGAGTAGCAGCTCTACTCCGAGCTCCTCCCCCTGAATGTCTAAGCTCCTCCTCCTGAATGTCTAAGCTCCTCCCCCTGAATGTCTAAGCCTCTCCTCCTGAATGTCTAAGCCCCTCCTCCTGAATGTCTAAGCTCCTCCTCTGGAATGTCTAAGCCCCTCCTCCTGAATGTCTAAGCTCCTCCTCTGGAATGCCTAAGCCCCTCCTCCTGAATGTCTAAGCTCCTCCTCTGGAATGTCTAAGCCCCTCCTCCTGAATGTCTAAGCTCCTCCTCCTGAATGTCTAAGCTCCTCTCCTGAATGTCTAAGCCCCTCCTCCTGAATGTCTAAGCTCCTCCTCCTGAATGTCTAAGCTCCTCTCCTGAATGTCTAAGCCCCTCCTCCTGAATGTCTAAGCTCCTCCTCCTGAATGTCTAAGCCCCTCCTCCTGAATGTCTAAGCTCCTCCTCCAGAATGTCTAAGCTCCCCCTCCAGAATGTCTAAGCCCCTCCTTCTGAATGTCTAAGCTCCTCTCCTGAATGTCTAAGCCCCTCCTCCTGAATGTCTAAGCCCCTCCTCCTGAATGTCTAAGCTCCTCTCCTGAATGTCTAAGCCCCTCCTCCTGAATGTCTAAGCTCCTCCTCCTGAATGTCTAAGCTCCTCTCTTGAATGTCTAAGCTCCTCCCCCTCTCTCTAAGGCTGAGTCCAGACCCCCTCCAGAGGAAACTTGTTTCAGACGCTTCTTTCTCATTCTTTCAGTTACGTCCCAGAGGTCATGACCTCAGTTGAGGGTTGGAACAGAGATCGAGCGGTAAATCAAAAGTGTTGCCTTCAGGTTCAGCTCGCTCTTCACCTCAACGGTCTGACACAACGCCTGAATTACTGCCGCCGCTGAACCAACCCGTCTGTTAATCCCACGCTCCATCTTACCCTGAGATACTTAAATCTCACTCCACTGTGTTTGATAACAGTTCATTAGTATTTGGTAAGTCAAAGATAACGATCCAATAATAATAATCTGTCGTGTTTGAAACTATCTATAAGACTACTGAATATTCCAGTTAACCTGACATATGCTCTGTGTAGGATGCTGATTGTTACCAGGTTCATCATCATGTCCACCGGGCTGACTTTGATCGGGTTGATTCGGTGAACAAACTTCCTGATTTGTTCAAAGGTGGGTCGGTGGGCGGGATTAACAGAACGACATCGCCTGATGAGCTACAGAAACACACACAGGACAAAAGACAGTAAAGTTTGTTATTGTGAAACATTTAAAAACAACTGGAGACATATGAACACTAAAACAACAGAAACCAGAAATCAAGATTACACCATAGAAACATTAAAAATGACTCACCTCTACGTAGTCAGATGGACAGGGGCAGGTGCTGTCGGCCTTACTGGAGATGAGTTCAGGTAGAGGAGGACACCAGGCGCTCTCCTGGTTCGACTCCTCTGCCTGCAAACATTCATTCATTTAACCAGCGATCAGCCTGACCAGCAGCACATTCAGTAACAAACCAAACAGAGGAGTGACAGGACAGCGGACCAATCAGAGAGTGTTAGCAAACACTATTTGATTCCATGTGTTATAAAACGATGAATCTCTGTTGCCATAACAACCGTTGTCTCAAAAAATAACAGAAGCTTTAAAAGTCGGGGGGCGTATTTTGAAGTCAAAGCATCAGTCACAGAAACGATGAGCAACCTCTAAATTATACAAACACATCGGCAACTTTTTCAGTTTTTGCAAATTGCAGACGTTGTTGTCATTTTTACCCGACCGATAAATCAGCCCGCCGATACTAACGGCCGATATCAGAATATCCAGTGAGTATCGGTATCGGCTATCTTTATCTCAGATATGCGCCGATATTATCCGATTATCAGAGAGTGACTTACCGGGACGGGGTCGCTGCGAGTGGCTATCTCCAGCAGAATGATGGAATAACTGTGAAAACAAACAGATGTTATCAACTGTCTGAATGAAGAGTTACACTTAAACATTGTGAGGAATCATCTCTGCTTTATGTGGACTAAAACAATCCCCTTAATGTTAAACAAAAAGGTATGTTTAGGGTTTTATAAGAAGTGGACGTTGCCATGGTGATGTCACCCATTCTTTCTGGATTACCATTTTAAAGCTTTACATTTTGTGATTTCATCTCCATCTTGGTTTTCTGTTTTCAACCAAAACAAGTCAACCTGTGTGAGATACCTGAACACGTCTCCCGCCAGCGTCGGCTCCACGTTGGTGTTCTGAAACTCAGGTGGCATGTAAACCTCCAGCAGTCTCTGCTGATAGGTGGTGAGAGGCTCTGCCCCGTCGCCCATGCGATACATCCTCAGACCGTAATCTAAAAGGACAAACCACGTGTCAATCAAGTATCAAACGATTTAAGTCATCCAATGAGTGTTCAGGAGTCTAAAGAACAGTCAAAAAACCCAAGAATATCTCATGATTGTCCAAGCTAAGGCTAGCTTAGGATAGGACAGTTGAATAGAACGCTGTATCGTCTGCGTATAAACAGATCTCTACTGTCATAATGTCTGATTGTTGTGACAATGGAAATGTGAAAAGCTTTTTAGATCACACTGTGATTTACCGGTTATTTTGCAGACCCAGCGGTCGTCTAAGACACAGTTTAGAGACTTCAGTCGGCCATGACAGATCCTGTGTTGGTGAAGGTACGACATCCCTCTGGCGATGTCCGTTGCGAAGGAAAACCTAAAACAAACAGAGTATTAATTAGCTGTGTTACCCGAATGTTTAATTTAATTACAACACTGTTGAGTACAAACTGTCAATCAGGAAACAGGAACATGCTGTGGTAGCCTAAATTATGTGCACGTGTGTCTACCTGAAGCCCCAATTGAGCGGGACATCCTCGTTAAGAAGAACGTCGTTTAGGCTTCCTTTTGGGCAGTACTCGGTTACTATGGCAACATTAGGCACCTCAACACATCCGCCGATAAACTTGCACAGGTTGGGATGATCTAGCTCCCTGGAGACAAAGACAGGAAAGTGTCAAAGTATTTCGTTGAAATATGAAGGTCATACAAGATGTGGACGGGTGAGGAGGATGTATCTTACCTGACCTGTTTGACTTCCTGTCTGATGATCTTGGACAGAGAGAAAGTCTTAGTTTGAATCCTCTTGATGGCCACCGTCCTGCCATCACTGGAGAAGGAAGAGATTATTAAATACAAAATGTTTCATAACAGTCTACATCCAAGTCTCATAGTCGGGAGACTTGTCCGTAAATCTTCCCAAACCGGGCTTGAAAGTCTGAGCACCAACAAGTGTTTTAATGTTTGCATTAAAGGGATAGTTTGGGGGTTTTTGAAGTAAGTTTGTGGTATGTGTACTGTAGATAAAAGTCATTAGTTTCCCCCAAACTTAACAGATTTAGTTGTCCAAGTGCTTTTGGACTTTAGGCTCTTAATATGAATCACAAAACCATGACTGACTGGTGAGAATAATAATCTGGTTGGTTGGTCAGGTAGTACCGATGGTATCATATTTTTGACACCATTCATTAAAATTCACATTCAAGAACTTCAACTTCTGTCAGAAAAAAGGAAGACTGTTCTGAGAAAAGATGAGGATAGAAAATGTAAAACAGACAAACACTATGTTGGCTGGATGATGTTTAATGAGCAGACAGGCAGACAGATGGCATACTATATCCCAGTGCTGGTGAAGAGTGTTTTCCGGGTCCCTGGTTGGCCGATGTAGGAGCTGAGAGCCGTCACACAGCTGGTGTTACTGTCGCTGTTCCCCACAGGTACGCTCATGATACTGCCCATGGTCATACGAGCCTCCTGATCTACACACAGAAGAAAAGAGAGAGAGAGGACTTACTTACTGATGCCATGTTGGTCAAGGCTTTACAAGAGCATTATAAAAATTATTCATGTAATGACAAATTGCAGGCGTCTTTCAACCAGTTCAACACAATGTTTTTGGACCAATGTTTTTTAAACCCTTTCTAGTCCCAGACTTGTGCGCGCCATTGTAGACTAATTGCAGCCCTACATACATTTCTGATCTTTTGTGACCACTAATAGGCAAGCCCCTGACCAGAGGACCTATCTGATCTTGAATTTTGGAGTACCTTGTTTTACCGTTGCGTAGTCGATGATCCAACTCTCGTCCCACAACAGCTTCCGTTTCTGATACTTCAGCCACTACAACATAAAGATGAATTGATAAGTCTTCATCACTGTGTATGATTTATTCCTGTATGAGTGTAATGTTGTTTCTCACCACAGCAGTCAGTATGAGGCAGAGGCAGAGCAGGCTGAGCGGCAGGCCGATGGCTAGCTTGGTGGTTGCACTCATGGGGCAATCGCCACAGTCAGCTGGACAGGTGGAACAAAGCTCCGCCTCCTCACAGAGACCATCCCCACAAACTAATGGGCAAGAAAAGAGAAATCACTCTGATGTAACTTGATAACGATACTGATACCTTTTTTAATACCGTGGCACACAAAAATAGAAGTCCTTCTGGCAAATTTTGGTAAAAATTGTAATGGCAAATTGCAACGTTGGGGCAGTAAGTGCCAATGAGTAGGGGTTTTAAACTGAGGTCATGACCATTGCCATGGACATAAGCCAATAAAGTAGAAACAAACAGCAACATTACCTACCTACAGCAGGTTGCACAGTGCTCTTGGCCTCAAGGGCCGCCTGCATGCGACCAACTCGAATGTGAGCGATGAGCGAGGTTAGGCCTGCATGGAACAAAACCACCTGCAAGACAAGGAACTGGGTTTAACTGATCACTTAGTATCACCCGCCATGGAAGTAAAGGGCATAACTCCACTTTATACTGACTGTAATGATCTAAAGATTGATTTAGGTAATCCTTAGAAGAGTGTGAACCCTAAATATATAAAGCAGTGTATCATCTGCGTATGAAGAACTACAGTACATAGCAATAACTAAATAAAGTGAGGCAATATGAGGACGATAACTACGGAGCCGAACAAAATCCACAATGTGTAATGTACTGATCGATCTCACAAATGACTACACAACAAACTTCTAATCCCTTTGTACACTACAACAGTAACACTGGTAACAGGAGAAGATTTCCTTCAGAGCTTTCTTTCTTAATGTTGTCCTGTACAATGATCTGCACTTTGTCCTTTAGATTGTACCTGCTCAACCTGTGTTTCTGAAAGGAGATCTCTCTTTAAATTCCCTCCACTGAGGTTTCTTTATTTACTCCTAGGAGCAGCTAGGTTGGAAATGATGAAGTCTTTTGAGGAGCTGTTGGTGCTATCAGGAAGTACAGGTAAACTGGTCCTGACATGCCAGTGTCTTACCCTAGCAGTCCAGTTGGTCTGGGTCATCTTTCCGGAGGTGGAGATGGTGTGTGTGACAATCTTTCCGTCATCAGGAATCCAGGGACCACAGATGCTCGCCGACGTCTAAAAGTTTATTTGATTATTATTCCTTTAAATCTTTACCGTGCAATTTCCTCAAACTGTGGCACCAATCGAGTGGAAAAGGCTTCTACTGTACAAACCTTACTCAGTCCTATGAAACATTGATGGCATTTCCAGACAGTTTAAGTCTTTTAAAATGTAGCTTTTATCAAAATTCATTTTTAGTTGTTCGTCAAATCAAAAGCAAGCATGTTGGAGCTAGCTAGGTTGTGTGTGTGTGTTTGTTCAGGTTTGTCTAGGTTCAACCGTAACGATTGCAAAGATTACGAGATCGCTGCAGCTCTAAAGACAAAGGTTCAAATGACAGTGTGCACCATGTATCCCAGTGGACAGGAGTGGATGTTGGCGTGATGGATGCAGCAGTTTTCTCCGTCAGCGTCCACCCAGTTGGCTGGACAGTCCAGATGTTCACAAAACTTGCGAGCTGCTTCAGCGTCTAGGATTGAACTGAACACAACAGAGCATTTGAGAGGATCAAATCCAGCTTTTATAAAATAGTATGAGTCATTCCATCTGCTTTGAATCCAGTATAGGCTGTTTTAAAATAATGCATCAACCTGTGTGTGAAGATGTTGTTGTCGATGGCCCATTGGTAGAAAGAGTCTCTGGCTGTAACCGAATACACCACGTTGAACACCTCGCCGCTCTTCACTGTCTCTGGAGGACGAACCACCCAGGCCATCTCCAGACCTGGAGGTGAGACACAAGGATTTTAAGAAACAGTTGAAAAATCTATTAAACTATTGTTCATATTATTCACATATATAGAGAAAAATCCTTTAAAAATCACATTATTCAAACATTTTCCCTTTTCTACCTTAAAGGAGCAGTATGTAACTCTGACCCCTAGTGTTTAAAATGGGTACTGCAGTCTAAATTCTAAACATCATAGAGAGCTGTCTCCCCCCCCTCCTCTCTAGAGTGGATGCTCACTCAGGTCACCATGTGGTGGACTCTGAAGCTTCAGTGTTTATCCAGCTCTGCATGGGTCTGTAAACCTTTCTGTGTTCTAACCTCTCTCCATTTTTCAAAAGCATCTCCAATATTGATCCTAGTTTGAGCACGTTTCTGCTCGTGGAGCTTATTAGAAACATGCAGAGGCTTTTTAGGTCGGGTACAATCACTTCTATCTGAACCACTTCTCTTGACCGCTTCCATCGCTGCAACACCTGTTGACCTGATAACTGCTCTCA